GCCCCAATACCACACCAAGGAATGAGAAAGGAGTACGAAGGATAGGCACAGGAAGCAGCATTGTTCACATCTTTTTCCTTATCTTTCCCCAGGTGACTCTGTGCTCCTGAAGTTTGAGAACCACATACTTAGCTGGTGATCCTTGGCCTGGCTGCAGATTGCATTTTTAACTCACCCGGGGAGTTTTTTTGATCTGTGTGTATGCGTGTGTGTTTAAAAGTACAAGCCCCACCTCCAGAATCTGATTCCCATGGTCCAGGGTAGAGCCTGGGCATCAACACTTTTAGAAGATCCCTTTGAGATTCCAAAGTCTTGCCAATACTGAGAGCCCAGGGATAGGAGGGTTCTCGCTAAGCTGAGTATAAAAATGAAAATCTGTCAGCCCCTACTAAATTACTGTTAAATTCACAGCATCACAGGACTGAGTGCACCTGCTACCCACAAACATCTGTGCTCCCTCCACACTGCTGGTGGGGGTCCCCGTCATTGCAAACAGCTCAGCCTGTGCTCTTTAGGGATCTCACAACAGAGGTTGAAGAGAGGTCACTTCCCTTAAAAAAAGCGTGGAGACGTGGGGGAAAATGCACACAAAAACACACACAAGTACTGTACAATTGGAGTTTTATAGACTAGGAAACGGATGCTCTGGAAGGGGAAATGCCTGCCCAGTGGGGTCATGGCAGAGCCAGGGCTCTTATCCAGGATGTCTTTCCCCTACTTGGCTCCTCTTAACTTGGGCCTCAGGGCACCCTCTGAGCTTCCTGCACATCTGTTGGTTGGGCGTGGCCTGGAGCCAACCAACATCTTCACCAGCAGCATCAGCCACCTCTCGAGGCTTACCTGGGCCAGGCATTGGACTATTTATTGAATGAATGAATGCAGCCAACCCAGCACTTGCCCACTGGCTGGTATTAAAACCAGGGAATTGAATAACCTTGAAAATAAATTTCTTAGAGCTGGATTAGCTCTTTTTTTTTTACAGACTCAAGAGTCTCTAAGAATAGGTCTTCCTTATTCTAGAGTTCTTGCCTTGCATCATAGTAACCATGTAATTCACTCAAATTCTACTTTCCATGTAATTTATATGTAACTCTGAGTACTTGAATTGCAGTTGACTGGTCTATCTAAAGTAATATAGATATTTAATTCCATATTTGTAAACATTGATGTTCCAGATTTTATATGTTGGAGCCAATCCATTTATTTCCAGATTCTCAGATATTTTCCATAGTCTATTAGAGTGTTTATTAGCTGTGGACTGTCCCCTATTATCTAACAGATCATAGATGACCTCAGTAAAAGGGGACTTGCTTCTCATGCATGGCCTGAGGACAAGAGAGAGATTTGGAGGATGTGGTCACTGTTGTTTTTAAGGACCAGAGAATAGTTTAACTTTTGGGGTAAAAACTTTATTGAGCTGTCACTCACCCCCTGTACAATTCACCCACTTGAACTGTACAATTCAATGGCTTTTGGTATACTCATCATTGCGCAACCACTACCACAATCAATTTTAGAACATTTTCATTGCTCCAAAAAGAAACTGGTGCCCTTTACTGTCACTCTCCATCAGCCCCTCCAACCCCCTCCCAACGCTAGACAGCCACTAACCTACTTTCTGTCTCTGTGGACTTGCCCACACTGGACATTTCATATCAATGGAGCCATATAACATGCAGCTTCGCGTCTGGCTTCCTTCACTTAGTGCACGTTTGCAAGGTTCGTCCATGTTGTGGCATGCACCAGGACTCCATTCCTTACGATTGCCAAATAATCTGCACTGTATAGGCCTACCACATGTTTCACTGACCCATTTATCGTTCGATGGACACTTGGACTTCCCCGCTTTTTGGCTGTTATCATTAATGCCACCATGAGCATTTGTGTACAAGTTCCTGCAGATGTATGCTTTTATTTCTCTTGGCTATACACCTGGGGCGGGATTTCTGGGTCACCTGGTAACCCTATGTTTTAACTTTACCTCCCCACCAGCAACGTATGCGGTTTCGCCACATCCTTGTCAGCACTTCTTGCTGCCTGTCTTTTTGATCACAGCCATCCTGGTGAGTGTGAAAGTGTGTCTCACTGTGGTTTTAATTTGCATTTCCTTGATGGTCGATGATGTTCGGTACCTTCTCATGTACTCGGTGGCCATTTGCATTTATTTATTTATTTATTTATTTATATTGATTTGAGAGAAAGAGAGGGAGAGAAACAGGAAGGGAGGGAGTAGCACTGACTGGTTGTTTCACTTATTCATGTGTCCCTTGGTTGCCTCTTGTGTGTGCCCTGACTGGAGATGGAACCTGCGGCCTTGGTGTATGGGTATGATACTCTGACCAACTCAGCTACCCTTGCCAGGGCTGTATATTTTCTTTAGAGAAATGTCTATTCAGAGATTCAGACTCTTTGTCCATTTTTAATCAAGTTACTTGGCATTTCATTATTGCATTGTAAGAGTTTCCTATGTATTCTGGATGCAGGTCCCTTATCAGATATGTGATTTGCAGATGTATCCTCCCATTCTGTGGGTTATTGTATTGGTTTGTGGAGACTGTCATAACAAAATGCCACAGTTGGGGGGCGGCTTAAACAACAGAAATTTATTTCCCACAGTTCTGGAGGCTAGAAGTCCAAGGTCAGAGTATCTGCAGATTTGGTTTCTCCGGAGGTCTCTCTTTTAGTTTGTAGATGGCCACCTTCTTCCTGTGTCTTCACAAGGTCTATTCTCTGTGTGCACCCCTGATGCCTCTGTCTCCTTATAAGGTAGAAGGACACTAGTCGTATTGGATTAGGGCCCCATCCCAAGGCCTCAGTTTAGTTTAATCCCCTCTTTAAAGTTCTTTCAATACAGTTTGTATTCTGAGGTACTGGGGGTCAGGACATCGAGATGTGAATTTTGGGGAACACACGATTTAGCACACACATTATCTTTTTACTTTTCTGATGGTGTCTTTTAAAGCACAAAGCTTTTTTATTTTAATGAAGCCCCACTTATCTGTTCTTTCCTTTGTTGCTTGTGCTTTAAGTGCCAGGTCTAAGAAACCATTACTTAGTTCAAGGCCATTGTGTATGCCTACGATTCTTCTGGGAGTTTTGCAGCTTTGGTTCTTACATTCCAGCCTGGTCCATTCTGAGTTCATTTTTGTATATGGTGTGAGGTAAGGGGTCCAACTTCATTCTTTTGCATGTGGGGACCTAATTGTCCCAGCCAGCACCATTAGTTGAAAAGAGGGTTCTTTTTCCATTAACTTGTCTTGTCATTCTCGTTAAAAATCAGTTGGTTGTAAATGTAAGGGTTTATAATCCCGACTCTCCTTTTTATCGCATTGCTCTGTGTGTCTATCCTTACACGTGCATCGCACTGTCTTGATTACTAGAGTAAGTTCTGAAACCTGGAAGTGTGAGTCTTCCACCTTATTCTGAGCACACTTGAACTTCCGGTATCAAACACTGTGAGTGGTGAGAATGGACAGGACAGCCCAGGAATCTGGGCCCATCCTCCAGGCTTCATTTCAGGAACACAGACTCCAAGTTCTTCTGCCTCGGAGAGATGAAGTCTCATCCTCTCAGCCCACACCTCTTCTTGACAAGTTCACGGAAATGTTCTGTGGAGAACCATGATCTCTCTGAGTTATTTTAAACATCATTTTAACTCCTCCCCATCTCCTTTGCTCTCCAATGGCTCTTGCTGAAACAGTGTAATTTACAGCTGGATTATCAATGAGCTGGGAGTGAGCCAGGAGAGTGGTGGTGGGCCTTCCAGAGCACTCGGTGGGGGGCCAGGGATAAGCCCGGCACAGAGGTTTTCCCCTCCCCAGGAAAGGTTACTGAGTTCCCTTAGCAAGCAGACCATCACTAAACTCAGGCTATGCTGTCAACCCCAGGAGAACATTGCTAGTAATAACCTAAAGGAGTTCTTCACACAAGTCTGCTGGGAATTGAATTAACAGGGTACAACCCCCAAGCCCACCAAACTTAAACCTTGTCTGCACCCCGCTGGCTGGCCCTAGGGCTCTAATCTGGAGGCTGAGAACGCTCAGGAAACAAGGCCCTTTGTGGAGAAGAGAACTCCATTGTTTGACAGCCAGTGTTCAAGGAGTGTGGATTCCAGAGAATGTCGTGCGCTGGATTTCCCCCCTTTGTTTGTTAACTTTCTCTCCTCCTCCTATGGGGGAGGGGAGTGTAGGGCCCTCTCCACATCAGCCTTAAGGTAGTTAAATCCCTTGTTCTGCAAAAAAGGTGGGGCTCAGAGCTCTCAGCCCAGGAAAGAGGCTTAAATTCAAGGATAGAAGCCACCGGGTGTTTGCCTTAAAACATTATTTTCCCCCCATTTTTAGCCTTAAATCTCAGGGAGGCAGCCCCTTTCTAGATCGTGACAGACGTCAGCGGAGGTACGACCACTTCCTTCCTCCTTCGCTTCACCTCCTTTCTTCCCAGAAAGAGGAAATGTTATGAGACCACGTCACAAGCCTCGGCCCCCCTGCTCCCCTGTCTCGCTCCTGCTCTCCCCCCTCCACCTGGGGGACCTGCCCCCACAGACCCGCCTTCGGGGCAAGGGCTGGCCAGTCTCCTGGACGTCCTCTGCAGCCTTTAGATTCGGGCTGCTCAGGCCCTCAAGGAAGGAGACTGGAAGTCCTGGCGCTGGACTAATTCTGTGTGACCTTGGACAGGTTATTGCCCCTCTCTGGGCTTCCTGGGGATGCCCTTCTGTCAAATGGGAGCGAGGATGCCGCCCTGGGCTCCCCTCTTCACGATGGTGGTGGTGGCGGGAAAGGAGGACGACGATAAGGAAAACTATTCCGAAGTCTGGGCGCATCCCAACTTTCTTCGATTTCCAGCTGGTAAAAGGAGGGGCCCCCATCCTTAGAGCGCCGGGACCCTTCGCGCGCTCCCCAGCCAGCCAGACCCGGCGGAGCGCGCCCGCCGCTTCTCCGAGCTCAGGCCCCGCCTTGGGGGAGGAGCCGAGGGGCGGGGCGGAGGCTCGGGGCCGAGCGGCGCTGGCTTTAGTCGCCTCGCGGCAGCTGCGGCTCGGGGACAGACTGACTGAGCCCGGGCCCGGAGCCGCCCGGGCAGGGCTCGGGAGAGAGGGTGAGTTCCGCGGAGTCGCCGCCTCCCGCTGCGCTCTGCGGCTGCACCGGAGGGCAGGGGATGAGTATGGAGGCGGGGAGGCCGGGAGGTGGTCCCGGCCTCTGACAGCTTGGCTGGGGGTGTGTGGGGTGCTTTGGCCACCCGCAGGCGGCTTGAGATAATTGGGGGAGGAGGTACTGGAAACGCAGGTTGCAGGTTCGGGTAGCGCTGATCCAGGGAGGCTGGCTGGTGTTGGAGCGTTCTCCTGGGGCTTGCGCGCCAACGACGAGGCCGGAGGGAGGGGGTGCTCATTGGCAGTTGTTGGCCGGGGTCGCCGTGACCCGATCTTGGGGCCGGTAGGGGGATTTCGGTTGGTTCTGGACTCTACGGTGGCTGTCTTCCGGGGCGGCTCCATGACAGGAATTGGGAGCTACAACCTGCACCAAATAGCCCGCCACCCAGCCTCAGGGCCCGGCATGGGGGCGCCGCCCCCTTGAGTGGCAGCCCTTGGTTTCCGCAGGCAGCGGCTAGGCTCAGGGAGCGCTCCTGCTCTGGCGGGAAAGGTCCCCAGGGGCAGTCGCCCACATGTGCGGACCCATCCAACCTCGGGATCTCGCTGACAGAGCCTGCTGTCCACCGGGAGACGCCGCGGGCGGTTGTGTTCAGGGAGAGGTGCGCCCGGCCTCTCCAAAGGGCCGCCGTGCGCCAGCCTCTGGGTCCCCGGAGTCCGGACCACTCCTCTCTTCCGGAGTCGCGCGCTTGGACCCAGGCCGGATGAGCGCCCCCGAGCGCCTAGGATGGGCTGAAACTGTGCAGCCGGCCCCAGAGAGGTCGCGCGGGGGCGTCTCCCCAAGGTCAACCGGAGCGCCCAGGTTGAGCTGCCCGCTTGCCCCAGTGGAGAGCAAAGAGGGGGAGGCGCTCGCTGCCACCTCCTTCCCTGATGCAGACTCCTTCCTTCCCTCCTCCTCCTCCCCCAGCCCGGCCCCGCTGCGCTGGAGATGCTGATGATGCAGCTCCCAGCCCCGGTGTGTAACTGAGCCTCCGGAGCTTTGAATCTGGCCCTGCCGGGAACCCGGGACCAGGCACTCTCGGGCACCTCGGGCGCCAAGGGGACAGAGATGCGACTGCATAAGCGCTTCTCAGAACCGAAAGCCGAGCTGCTTGGGCGCCCATGTGATTGGATTCTACATAATGGGCCCCTGTTCTCGATGTCAGAAAAGCCCACCAGCTCCCCGCGGCCGCGGGCACCAGGTGCCGCCTCTGAATCGCCCTCTGTGGAGGACCCGGGCCCTGAGGTACCAGGCGCCTTTCTCCCAGGGCTCTCTGGAGAAGGGGCCTGTCGTTAGCCGCCTCAGCCGGAGGGGGTAGTTCCCCGTGTGCCCTGACATTTCCTGCGGCTGGTGCAGCTCCGAGAACACCCCTCCACTCGGGAGGATTCCTTCTAGGCTGGTAATAAAGCTTTTTAGCTCCGTTGGTGACTAGCTCCGTCTGCCCCAGGGCACGGCACTTGGCCTCTCCGAAGCCTCAGTTGCCTGTAGAAAATGGGACTAAGAAGCAGTCCCATTTCGGGGGATGGGTAAGAGGACCCAGGGGGAGAGCTTGGTGCAGTGGAGCGTGGCAGGATGCATGCTCCCAAGTAAATGCTGGCGCCTTTCACACTGGTTTTGAGTGGGGCTTGTCTCTTCTTTAGGGCAGGAGCAGAAGTGGAGCCCTGGTGGGTGGTTCTGCAGGGGCGGGGGGAGTTCCCACATCTCCTTCCCTTGCTTTGTCATAAAGAGTCAGCTTACAGGCCGCCGGTGGGCGCTGGTGAATCCTTTCAGCTGGCAACCTGCTCTGGGGGGGCCTTCCCCCACAAATCCCCAGCCCCTTCTCTTCCACCTGCCATGGGGATGCTGGGGGTGAGAGGTCAATCAGGCCACTCTGCATGTTCAGTTTTGCACCTTGCTGTCAGCTGTAGTTCACCCAACAGTGTCCTCCACCCTGAAAACTTCCTAACCCCTCTCCCAGTCCAAGCTCTTTCCAGCCTCTGGAATGTCTTCCTGCAGGAAGACCACTTGATCCTTCCTGCCCCTCTTTTGGTTTCCCCCACTGTGCTGTTCATCCTCTGCGTCTCATGCACCAGGGCTCCTCTCTGGATCTGTGCTGGCATGGAAGGACGTGGAAGGAAAGGCCGATGCATATTCAGACTCCATCTCTCTGGTAATGATGCTGGAGTAGGTATTAAATTCTCAGTTAAGTCTGTTTGGGAGCCTGAGCCACAGGGCTAAGAGGTTGTTGATGCAGGAAGGGGGGTTTCCCCCCAAGGCCAAGCCTTTCTGCAGAGCCCATTAGAACTCTTTGGAAACTAGAGCCCCAGGTTCCTCTCAAAACCTGCTCCATCATCCAGAGTGAGGTAGGGTGCAGCCAGCCTGGGTCTGCAGGTCGAAGAAGGCACCTATGTGGATTCATGGGCTGTGCTTGGATCCTCAGGACCCCCACCAAACCTTGCCCTCCCGCCCCCTCTTAGCCACCACCTGCTCCACTCCCCCTATCCCCTGTACCCCACCCTCACCCCCTGCACCGAGGACTTGGAGCATTTGGTGAATATCGGGTCCCAACTGGCATCCTTCCAGCAGAGACCAGGTGACCTTCTTTATCCTCAGCGCATCTTAGAGACTTGGCTTCACGGAGGGCTTGGATGAGCCTGACTCCTACAGAAAGTTGCAACGTGTGAAGAGCAAGGGCCCAGACAGGTCTAGTTCAAATTATGGCTCTATGCTTAACAGCTCTGTGGTCCTGGGTAAATGATTTCCTCTCTCCGAGTCCTGGCTTTCTCATCGGTAAAATGGGAGTGATAGTCATGCTGACTTCACGGGGTTGTGATGATTCTGTGAGACCACAAAGCCCAGGAAGTGCTTAGTACAGCACCTGGTGTGGGCAGGAGTACAGGAAGTGATACTTGTCACTGTCATCACCACTTCCTCCTTTGCAGAGGGCTCCCAGCACCTCTGGTCTGGTGGAGGCAGACCTCTTCTGCCTCTAGCTACCAGGACAGGGAGAGCCACTCAGCCTGGGGGGCCTGCCTCCTGGGAATTTGAGTGCAGCGTGGGCCTGTCCTCAGGAAGTCTGCTACTGGGCCTTTCTCATCTGGCTGCCGTTTTTTCAGGATTCATTGATTTATTCAATAGATTTTTGCTTTATTTTAGACTTTGTGCTTAGCAAGAGGTTTCAAAATTTTCTCAGGGTTCTTTCTCTAGAGGGGAGAGGCAGGCTTGGAAACAGATCGTGAGGCTACAGTCCCCAACAGATAGCAAAGGATAACAGTTTCACCGGCAGGAAGAGGAGCGGAGAATAAAGCAATGGATGCACGGGTGGGCCCAGGCCAGCCAACAGGTTTTATTCTGGACTCTGCCAGCTTGCAGCTGGTGGTGATGGACAGATAGATGCCTTACCTGTGAAGCATGTAAGCTACCTGCGTGGGGTGTCGAGGTGAGGAGAAAAGTGAGACCACATGGGTGAGAAATTTAGCTCAGGGCTTCTAGATATTTATTTGTGATTGCAAATGTCAGCTGCTGTTATTATTAGTCTGTGATGACCAATAACAGGTGGGCAAAGTTTGCTGTGGGAACCCATTGGAGCCCTTCAGAGACAATTTTGCAGGTGGTGGTAACAGAGCGGTAGGCAGCCTGAGCAGAGCGAACAGCTTGTGTAAAGGCACGGAGGCTGGGCGTCTTCGAGAGCAGTGGGGAGTGCAGCTGGGGCACCATCACCACGGGGCGTATGGAGGCAGGGGCAGCAGGCAAAGCCAGGGAGGCAGGCAGAGGCCAGCCTGCCCAGGGGTCCCAAATGACTGAACATTCACTGACCCGGAGCAGGTGCCCTGCAGCCTGTGGAGGGTTGTCTGGTTGTAGCACCTGAGAAAGTCTAGGATTGACCTCTGCCTGGGAGGAAGGGCTGGGCTGTGCTCGTTTGCCAATACATTCACTGCCCCTTCCTCGTCCTATTCCCCGGGAAGCCTAGAGGTCCCCTCCTTCTTCCTGAGATGCTTCCTGAGATGAGATACTTCTGTACCAGTTCCTTCCTTCCTGGGTCTCAGTTTCTCACTTGAAGGAAGGGGATGGGGGGGTAGAGAAAGTGTTGTGATCTGGCTCCTTTAACATTGTACTAAGTGCGGCTATGGGCAGTGGTCACTGTCCGAAGTTTTTGCTTGCATTGCCATTGAATCCTCATTGAAGTGGACATATTTATCCTCATTGCATGGAGGGGTAAACCGAGGCACAAAGAATGAGGTGATTTGCTAAAGGCATGCAGCTTAAATATGGTAGCAGTTCATGTCAGGGGGTCTCCAAAGTTGTCATGTGCTAACCTGTACCACCTCACCTGTGCTCCGTGTGAATACCTAAAGCTGACCGCAGAATGTCTGGATGCTGGGTAGTGGGCTCTTTGGAGATGAGTCACAGCCGGGTGTGCTCTAGTTCCCTGGGGATTTCCCCATTCTCTCCCTGCCCTGACTTTTGGGAAGGTCCTGTGTGCAGGCACTTGGCGAGGGGGAGGTGTTCTTGGATGTCTCAGAGTTCAGGTCGCATTCCTCGGCCCCGCTAGTGTCCCATCAACACGCCTTGACGTAGTCCGTTTGCAGCTTGATTGACGTGGCAGGTGGTGGTGGGGCTCTACAATGACCCGAGGATGGCTGGTCAGAGCCTCACGTGACCACATCCCTGCCTGCTTACAGGAGGCAAAGGCTCAGGTTTCCTTTTCCTTGGGAGGCAGAGTTTAAGGCCTGGGTTCAAATTCTGACTCTGCTTTCCACTGGCTTTTTGGCCTTGGACAATTTCTATTTCCTTGAGCCTCAATTTCTTCATCTGGAATACAGATGTGTGTGTGTGTGTGTGTGTGTGTGTGTGTGTGTGTGTGTGTGTTGTCATTAGAATTTGTAATTACACACAAAATGCCTGGTTTCCAAGTTATTGTGGTGTAGTATCCATGATATTTTCCTCCTTGGTATTTATTAAAATTGTGATTACACGGTTATTTGTGGTCAT